TCCTGCCCACCCACCTACACGTGGCTCCTTCTAGTGAAGCCGGTTGCTGCCCTCAGCCTGCGGTGCTGCTGGCAATGTAGCCTATTGCTATAGCATCTGTGGCCTTTTAGCTCACAGCCGGCCACGTACTGTTGCTTGAGGTCTGCTGCTCTCAGTTTCACTTCTCAGGGCTGCCGTGCTGCTGGGAGGGATGAGGGCGGCTGGAAGATTTTTTACTTTCCATGATGAGACTTCGGCTCCCCCTCCCGCTCTGCCTCCCGACCAGAGGTGAGAGATGCCCTCTGCGGGGCCATGGGCAAAGAGGAAGCCCAGGGATGCAAGCTGATTCCCTTCCCTTGCAGCCCTGAGCTGGGTAAGGCAGGAGCTCTCAAAAGGAGTAAGGCACAGCCTCGGCCAGAGATCGGCCCCTGCTCTCCTCCCCACTGAACACCCATCCAAAGGGCAAAGGTGCCACTGCACCCGGTGCTGCCAGCGACTAGGGAGGGCTTGCTTGGGAGCACCCTGGCATGTTGTGAGTGCAGGCGTGTGCTTCTTGGTTACCGATGCGGAGTGCAATGATGGGGTATCCCAGCCACAGCAGCTGGAGTAAGGTACTGGCATCGTAAGGACTTCTCCAGGAGCAGCACTGACTGAGCATGGCCATGCCCTGCTCGGATCCTCACTCTGCTCCTGACCAGGATTTCGGAACAACCCAAGAAGAGACTCCCCCCTCCTCAGTCTTCTCCAGATGATCCATCCCGGGTTTATGGTGAGCTCTAGGGAGCAGTGGGCATAGGCAGGGCTTTGTGCCACGTGTGCAGTGACCAGTGAAGCTGATGTTTGCACAGCACCTCGCTGGGGTGTCCCTGGGCCTTTGCTGAAGAAGTCTTGCAGGATGGCCATTGGACTTCCCTGCATGTCGCTGAGATTGTTAAGCTCCTTAGGGCAATGACTGGTTATGTTCTGCGTTTGTACAGCTCCTAGCGCAGTGCTGCGGCTGTTCAGCGCTCTGGTGCGAACAGGAATAATAAATGAGGCAGCCCCCGTAAGACAGTGGCACAGTGGGCTCCCTTTCTGCCATGAGATTGTTTCTCTGAGGGATTCCCCACGCCTGTAACACAGGAAGAACCCATTATGGTGCACATGGGGTGTTTGCTCCCTGTTAACCACAGTTTTTCTGCTCTCTGGGGATGCCAGCATGAGAGGGCTGCCTACCTGGCACCTTTCACTCACACCAACACCTTCTGCGGGCCCTGGCTTCTGCGGGCCCTGAGGTTGGTGTCGTCATTGACACCCTGTGAAGCTGTGGGTGTAAAATGCTATTTCCCCCCAAATTCTCCTCTCCCTGGTCTGGGGAAAGCATTTGAAAAGCCACCGTAGTGCACATATGAAAATGACTACACAAAGCACCAGGCTGAGGGTGCCCGAGCCCAGGAGAGAAACTGCCATGGGCAGAGAGCGGCCGAGGGAGAGAAAGGAAGCTCCGGTCTACCCCTGAGGATAACAATCGAAACCACGTGGGCCAGTGGTTAGCATGAACTCACATTTGGCATGACTTCCCCGGGTTGGGGCTGCAAAGCTGTGGTGCTGCAAGAGGCTGCTAAGACTCATTCTCATAGCACAGGAGGGATGGGCAGATGGTTGTGGCCAGAGCTTGGCTTCATCCCTTGCTCTTCCTTTCTGGGTCATTCAGAGCAAGTTTCTCTTTTCCTTTGTCTCCCTGGGCCTCAGCGCCTCCTCTGCGAAGTGGGGATATTAGCACTGTGGGGTTGCAAGGCTAACTACAGAAAGAGGGCGAGGAGCGGAGATAATGGGGCTCTTGTGGTATCCTAGGCAGACACGTTGTTCTATTTGAATCTGGGTGCGTCTAGACTGGCATGATTTTGCGCAAAAGCAACAGCCTGTGTACACTGGCCGCGAGTATTTCCACAAGAACACTGACTTTGTAATGTACAAAATCAGTGGTTCTTGGTTCTTGCGCAAATACTCCGACGCTCCCACTCAGGGATAAGCCCTCTTGCTCAAGTATTCTTGCGCAAGAGTGCCAGTGTAGTCAGCTAAGTTAATTTCTTGCGCAAGAAAGCCCGATGGTTAAAATGGCCATCGGAGCTTTCTTGCGCAAGAGAGTGTCTACACTGGCATGGATGCTTTTGCGCTAAAGCAAATCTTTTGCGCAAAGGCACATGCCAGTATAGACGATCTCTTGCACAAATACTTTTAAACTTTTCCGTTAAAAGTATTTGCGCAAAATCATGCCAGTCTAAACGCAGCCTCTGTGTTTTCCGTGGCATCTGCATAGAACAGCAAATCATAGGAAAGGAGGGCTGGAAAGCACCTCATGGAGTCACCACGTCCAGTGCCTGCACTGAAGCAGGACCCAATCAGCCTAGACCGTCCCTGACAGATGTTTAGGGACAGATGTTTTAGGACAGATGTTCCTAAAAACATCCAGCGAGGGGGTTCTACAATCTCCCTTGAAAACTGATGCCAGAGCCTAATTACCCCGAGAGTTGCAAAGCTTTTCCTAATGCCTAACCTAAATCCTTATTGCTGCAGATTAATCCCAGTACTTCTTGTCCTACCTTCAGTGGACGCAGGGAATAACAGGTCACCGTCCTGAGCTGCTCCTTCACTGTTCGTTTCTCAAGACTAGACATGCCCCGTTTTTTTCACCTTTCCTCATAGGTCAGGTTTTCTAACCCTTTTAGCATCTTTATTGTTCTTCCATGGACTTGCTCCAATTTATCCACATGGGGCACCCAGAATTGGACTCCAGGGGATGCCTCACCAGTGCTAGATAAAGCCGGGCAGTCACCACCCATGCCTTACATAGGACCACTTGTTAACACACCCCAGAATGATACTAGCCTTTTTCACAGCTGCGTCCGATTGTTGGCTCCTATTCACTTTGGGACTTAATCTTCAGCAGGGGAGCCACCAGCCTGTGTTGGCCCCTGGGCAGGGTGTGGGAGCTGTCTCTGTGCTCCTGGAAGGGACGGGGCCTTGGGTGGAAAGAGCAGGGCGTGTCCCCAGCCCTCAGAGCCGCACAGAGGGGGCGGCGTGGTGTGCCAGTATCAACTGAAAGAACCTTGGGTTCCAGCTACCGCTGAGGCTGCAGTCGCCAGGAATCCCAGGCCCCTTTGAATTGCCTGGGCCCGGGGCAACTGTCCCTTTTACCCCTGCCCCATGCAGGCCTGATATTCAGATCCTTTTCAGCAGTAGTACAGTCGAGCCAGTGACTCCCCATTTTTTAGTAATGCATGGGTGGCCGGTAATGTAGGCAAGGGAAGGTACAGCCTTCCCAAAACTGCCTACATGCCCAGCCACTGAGGAAGGCTTAGGCCACCGCCGGGGAAGGCTGCAGCCCAACTTCCCCAGACACAAGGGTGGGCTGGGGCCGCGGCGTAACCACACTGCTCTGTGGGCACTACGGAGGGCTAGGCCAAGGCCGCCGCAGAGCAGCCCTGGCCCTCCAGGTGGCCAGCAAGGATTATGGTGAGGGCAGGAAGGGATTGGCTCCAGGGGCGGGGCCTCGGGCAAAAGGGGCGGGGTGAAGCTGTGGCTTGCCTTCCCTAACTGGGCTTTCACCCACCGCCCATGTTCCTAAGCAACATACTTTCCCCACAGGACTCCTCGTCGCTTTCCCCATGTCTTTATTCAATTTCTCCTTCTTGATTTCAGCCCCAATTTTCTAATTTGTCA